AGAACCATCAAAACCATCAGAACTATCAGGACCATCAGAACAATCAGGACCATCAGGACCATCAGAACCATCAGAACCATCAGGATCATCAGAACCATCAGGATCATCAGGATCATCAGAACTATCAGGACCATCAGGACCATCAGAACCATCAGGATCATCAGGATCATCAGAACTATCAGGACCATCAGAACCATCAAAACCATCAGAACCATCAGGATCATCAGGATCATCAGAACCATCAGAACCATCAGGACAATCAGAACCATCAAAACCATCAGGATCATCAGGATCATCAGAACTATCAGGACCATGAGAACCATCAAAACCATCAGAACCATCAGGATCATCAGGATCATCAGAACCATCAAAACCATCAGAACCATCAGGATCATCAGGATCATCAGGATCATCAGAACCATCAAAACCATCAGGACCATCAGAACAATCAGGACCATCAGAACCATCAGGATCATCAGGATCATCAGAACTATCAGGACCATCAGGACCATCAGAACCATCAGGATCATCAGGATCATCAGAACAATCAGGACCATCAGAACCATCAAAACCATCAGAACCATCAGGACCATCAGGATCATCAGAACTATCAGGACCATCAGAACCATCAAAACCATCAAAACCATCAGGATCATCAGAACCATCAGAACAATCAGAACCATCAGAACCATCAGGATCATCAGGATCATCAGAACTATCAGGACCATCAGAACCATCAGGGTCATCAGGATCATCAGAACTATCAGGACCATCAGAACCATCAAAACCATCAGAACCATCAGGATCATCAGGATCATCAGAACTATCAGGACCATCAGAACAATCAGGACCATCAGGACCATCAGAACCATCAGAACCATCAGGATCATCAGAACCATCAGGACCATCAGGATCATCAGAACTATCAGGACCATCAGAACCATCAAAACCATCAGGATCATCAGAACCATCAGGACCATCAGGATCATCAGAACTATCAGGACCATCAGAACAATCAGGACCATCAGGACCATCAGAACCATCAGAACCATCAGGATCATCAAGATCATCAGAACCATCAGAACCATCAGGACCATCAGAACCATCAGAACCATCAGAACAATCAGAACCATCAGGATCATCAGAACCATCAGAACTATCAGGACCATCAGAACCATCAGGACCATCAGAACAATCAGAACCATCAGGATCATCAGAACAATCAGGACCATCGGGATCATCAGAACCATCAGGACCATCAGAACAATCAGAACCATCAGGACCATCAGAACCATCAGAACCATCAGGACCATCAGAACAATCAGAACCATCAGGATCATCAGGATCATCAGAACTATCAGGACCATCAGAACCATCAAAACCATCAGAACCATCAGGATCATCAGGATCATCAGAACCATCAGAACCATCAGGACCATCAGAACAATCAGAACCATCAGAACCATCAGGATCATCAGGATCATCAGAACTATCAGGACCATCAGGACCATCAGAACCATCAGGATCATCAGGATCATCAGAACAATCAGGACCATCAGAACCATCAAAACCATCAGAACCATCAGGACCATCAGGATCATCAGAACTATCAGGACCATCAGAACCATCAAAACCATCAGGATCATCAGAACCATCAGAACAATCAGAACCATCAGAACCATCAGGATCATCAGGATCATCAGAACTATCAGGACCATCAGAACCATCAGAACCATCAGGATCATCAGGATCATCAGAACTATCAGGACCATCAGAACAATCAGGACCATCAGGACTATCAGAACCATCAGAACCATCAGGATCATCAGAACCATCAGGACCATCAGGATCATCAGAACTATCAGGACCATCAGAACCATCAAAACCATCAGGATCATCAGAACCATCAGGACCATCAGGATCATCAGAACTATCAGGACCATCAGAACAATCAGGACCATCAGGACCATCAGGATCATCAGGATCATCAAGATCATCAGAACCATCAGAACCATCAGGACCATCAGAAACATCAGGACCATCAGAACAATCAGAACCATCAGGATCATCAGAACTATCAGGACCATCAGAACCATCAAAACCATCAGGATCATCAGAACCATCAGGACCATCAGAACAATCAGAACCATCAGGATCATCAGAACCATCAGAACCATCAGAACAATCAGAACCATCAGAACCATCAGGACCATCAGAAACATCAGGACCATCAGAACAATCAGAACCATCAGGATCATCAGAACTATCAGGACCATCAGAACCATCAAAACCATCAGGATCATCAGAACCATCAGGACCATCAGAACAATCAGAACCATCAGGATCATCAGAACCATCAGAACCATCAGAACAATCAGAACCATCAGGACCATCAGGATCATCAGAACCATCAGGATCATCAGGACCATCAGGACCATCAAAACCATCAGGATCATCAGAACCATCAGAACTATCAGGACCATCAGAACCATCAGGACCATCAGAACAATCAGAACTATCAGGACCATCAGAACAATCAGGACCATCGGGATCATCAGAACCATCAGGACCATCAGAACCATCAGAACCATCAGGACCATCAGAACAATCAGAACCATCAGGATCATCAGGATCATCAGAACTATCAGGACCATCAGGACCATCAGGATCATCAGGATCATCAGAACAATCAGGACCATCAGAACCATCAAAACCATCAGAACCATCAGAACCATCAGGATCATCAGAACTATCAGGACCATCAGAACCATCAAAACCATCAGGATCATTAGAACCATCAGAACAATCAGAACCATCAGAACCATCAGGATCATCAGAACTATCAGGACCATCAGAACCATCAGAACCATCAGGATCATCAGGATCATCAGAACTATCAGGACCATCAGAACCATCAAAACCATCAGAACCATCAGGATCATCAGGATCATCAGAACTATCAGGACCATCAGAACAATCAGGACCATCAGAACCATCAGAACCATCAGAACAATCAGAACCATCAGGACCATCAGGATCATCAGAACCATCAGGATCATCAGGACCATCAGGACCATCAAAACCATCAGGATCATCAGAACCATCAGAACTATCAGGACCATCAGAACCATCAGGACCATCAGAACAATCAGAACTATCAGGACCATCAGAACAATCAGGACCATCGGGATCATCAGAACCATCAGGACCATCAGAACCATCAGAACCATCAGGACCATCAGAACAATCAGAACCATCAGGATCATCAGGATCATCAGAACTATCAGGACCATCAGGACCATCAGGATCATCAGGATCATCAGAACAATCAGGACCATCAGAACAATCAGAACCATCAGAACCATCAGGATCATCAGGACCATCAGAACCATCAGGACCATCAGAACCATCAAAACCATCAGGATCATCAGAACCATCAGAACAATCAGAACCATCAGAACCATCAGGATCATCAGAACTATCAGGACCATCAGAACCATCAGAACCATCAGGATCATCAGGATCATCAGAACTATCAGGACCATCAGAACCATCAAAACCATCAGAACCATCAGGATCATCAGGATCATCAGAACTATCAGGACCATCAGAACAATCAGGACCATCAGAACCATCAGAACCATCAGGATCATCAGAACCATCAGGACCATCAGGATCATCAGAACTATCAGGACCATCAGAACCATCAAAACCATCAGGATCATCAGAACCATCAGGACCATCAGGATCATCAGAACAATCAGGACCATCAGAACCATCAGGACCATCAGAACAATCAGAACCATCAGGATCATCAGAACCATCAGAACCATCAGAACAATCAGAACCATCAGGACCATCAGGATCATCAGAACCATCAGAACTATCAGGACCATCAGAACCATCAGGATCATCAGAACCATCAGAACCATCAGGACCATCAGAACAATCAGAACCATCAGAACCATCAAAATCATCAGAACCATCAGGACCATCAGAACCATCAGGATCATCAAGACCATCAGGACCATCAAAACCATCAGGATCATCAGAACCATCAGAACTATCAGGACCATCAGAACCATCAGGACCATCAGAACAATCAGAACCATCAGGATCATCAGAACAATCAGGACCATCGGGATCATCAGAACCATCAGGATCATCAGAACCATCAGAACCATCAGGACCATCAGAACCATCAGGACCATCAGGACCATCAGAACCATCAGAACCATCAGGACCATCAGAACCATCAGAACCATCAGGATCATCCGGATCATCAGAACCATCAGGACCATCAGAACCATCAGGACCATCAGAACAATCAGGACTATCAGAACCATCAGGACCATCGGGATCATCAGAACCATCAGGATCATCAGAACCATCAGGACCATCAGAACCATGAGGATCATCAGAAGCTTCAACAAAGTCACCAGATCCTTTAAACCATGATCCGTCCATCCATGGATCCTGACCTGCACCCACCATCCCTCCTGGGCCTACAGGTGCAGGTCTGGATCCATGGATGGAGGAAGCAGGAAGCAGGGCTTCATTTGCACGGGGTGGACGAGCAAACATAATGGACTAAATATAAAGGAGCACATCTGGCTGAAGTGAGCACAACTGGTTTCATTGACAGCTTCGGTTTATGGCCTGATGCTGACTCTGGGCACCACCGAGGGGTTTCACTGCTTTTTGCTGAGCAGCTGTGTAAAGTGACCGGACCAGAGCCGGTTCCAGAGCTTGGTTTAATGGACCGGCACAATAAGGAACCATCCTCTATGAGCAGATTGGCCCTTTAAAAGGAAGAAGCTGCAGATAACAAGCTGTTCTCCAGAGCCTGAAACACAACATGCTAAATCAAACACATCAGAACGATGTTTGGTAGAGTGAAGCTCAGGCTGAGGGAGGTGAAGCTGCTGCTGCTCTTATTTTATTTCTGGCAGTGAAACAACTTGAGTGCGGTCTTCGTGTGATTCAGGGTTGTTACTCACCGAGCTCTCAGAGTGCTGACTGTAGACTTATCAATCCTACAGAGAGAGAGAGAGAGAGAGACACCGTTAACATGTGGTGCACTGAGCGCGCTCTGATAACAGCAGGAACGTTAGGACGTTGCCGAGGTGGAGGACGAGATTTCTATCTGCATTCTCTATTAACCTCAGTAACCTGAGTGAGGTGTGAGGTTCACAGCAATAAAACCTGTTTATTAAAGTGCTGCAGCGCCACCGAATCAGGCGTGTTTCTGTAATGACGGCTGAAGCGCAATAAAACAGCACAAACCAGCAGACGCATGAACCACTGGATGACTTCACAGAAAGTCATCCAGTGGTAGAAAGTGGGTTCCTGAGGCTACGTCCACACTAAGCCGTTTTGTTTAAAAACACCGTTTTGGCCTCCCGTCCACACTGAGGCGGCGTTTTCCTCAAGGAAAAACGCCGCGTTTTGGAAACGCTCTCGAAAAACAAATACATTTCAAAACGGAGCTGTCCCGTCGCAGTGTGGACACTCGAACACGCAGACTTTCTAAAACGATGACGCATTTTAGTCGTGTGATGCAGTCATGTGACCAATTAAACTAAGACAGCGGAGGGCGTTACACAGCAGTGGTTTTGATTGGTCTCAGCTTTGACAGCCCTGTTACAGATTAATATCAGTCTGTACGTGCTGCAGATTGCTTTCCTTCTAATTCTTTAATCCTCACTGGCTTTTGCGCATGTGCAGGACTGCAACGTAAGTGTTTTGGACCGTTTCAATGTGGACGCACAACTCTTTGACATGAGACAAAACACAACTCCACAACTTTATTAGTGCAAAAACCCATCAATGTATTTTCACTTAACCCTCCTGTTATGTTGGCTTGAAGGAGCACTGATTACGTTCCTGGTCAATTTAGATTTTTTTCGCTTTCTGTAGTGATGCAGATGACATGTGACATCTCTTCTGTTCTGGGTCAATCTGACCCGCAACATAACAGGAGGGTTAAACAAGCAGCTGTTTTTTTATGTGCATTAAAGTTATACAAAAATGTAACAGTGCAAATTCCTCGCTGACAGTTTAACCAAAAAGCATTTCCACTGGAAACTGGCCGACACATCCTCAGCATATCCATGTATAACATCCACAACACTTAAAAAGAGGTTAAACACACACAACACGGTAACATTATGTTGAAGCACAGCACGTATCACTCCGCGAGGCTCCGCCTACGATAGCTGTAAAGCTCCGACAATCCATCAAGCGGTGCGGCTTCGTAGCTCAGCAAAGTCGTACTGAAACATGTGACAGATTTTCGAGCGCCGTGCACATAAAATCGTTTCGAGGTCAGTAAACACAACCAGAGTTCATACATAAGGCGCACGGGATTATAAGGGGCTCTGTCGACTTTCAGAAAATCAAAGGATTGATTTTAAGTGCGCCGTATTTTCCAAACAACTCGGTAATAACGACGGCCCGCTAGCATGCGCTACCAAAAATAGTGCTTTGTTGTGTGTCTGACGGACGAAAGCTAAACCAGTTCCACACCAGTGAAGCTGCAGAATTTTTAGAAACCAGTTCTGGTTCATCTGTTTCATTCAGCGATCCACTCTCGCTCTTCTCATTCTGCGTCGCCGCCATGTGCGTATGTAAACAAAGGCACTGCGCATGCGCGTTTTACCCAAATTCTATCGCCATATTTCATTTTCCTATCGTTGCCCAACATTACACCGGTATTACCATGAACAGTATGATAGAGCCCAGCCCTACCTGACACAGATGTTAGCAACCTCACTGTGACAGGAAACAGCCTGAAAACCACAAGTGAGAGTTAACAGGAGACACAGATCAGGTGACAAGTGTGGAGGAGAGGAGGAGAGGAAAGAAGGAAAGGAGAGGACAGAAGGAGATGAGAGGAGAGCGTGTGGTCGAGCAGAACTTTAAAAGCCTGAGTATGATGACTCTGAGAAAACTCCACTCCCACAGGCCATAAATAACTCATCCAACAACACACACACACACACACACACACACACACACACACACACACACACACACACACACACACACACACACACACACACACACACACAAAGATGGCCGACAGTAGAGAGTGCAGGCATGCTGCTTTATTTTAAAGCACAGGAAACAGTTGCCTGTGTGAGTGTTTGTGCGCGCGTGTGTGTGTGTCTCTGTGTGCGTGTGTGTGTTTGCGTGTTTGTGTGTGTTTGTGTGTTTGTTTGTCACCACTGCGCTGAACCAAACTCGTCCCTCCAACCCAACCTGGAAACAAAGCTGACATCGTTCAAACCTGCACTTCCTCCAGCGACCAGCAGAGGCTGCAGCAGCGACTCAGCCCCCCTCCACTCCCACTAACATGAGTTTGTTACACAAACAGCTGATTTCCTGCTTCAGTGAACAAACATGATTCAGCAGATTTCTCACTTTTATTGAGTTTTGCACTTTAAAATCGTCACGTTTAGAGTTCTTTGTTTGAAAATAAAATAATTACAAACTCCTCGAACAATAAAATGTCTTTGATGTCGCTTCAGTCTGACCATCACACTGCTCATCTGGGCTGTGACCTTTGACCTATCCGCTCTCAGACACTGAGTATGGAAACAGCGCTAACAGAGCGACCTAGAAGTCTGAACTAACACGTTAAACCAACATGGCGTCCTCACATAAAGGATAAAACATGTCGGCGTCTCGGGGTGAAGCTCCAGCAGCTGCTGCAGCCACAGGTTTGAGTCCTGTGACTGTTTGTGATGACAGCGACAGTCGAGCCATCAAAGAGAGAACGAGGGTGGAGCAGGATGGGCGGAGCATCCCGGGGTTTGATATAAACGCTCCTGCAGCCGCCCGAGGCCAGTCCTGCATTATTTAATAGTGCAACTCTATTAGTCGTCATGGTCTAAATGCTGGAGGACAGAGGAACGACGAGGAGGCATGAGGTAATCTGTGAGGGCGTACCATCTGTTATTTTATTATGATGAGACAGAGGGGAAGGAAAGGAGGAGGTGGGGAAGGACAGGAGCTTTTCTTTTTATGTAAGGAAATCATGAGCTATAAAAGGATGAAGAAACAGAGATGGAGGAATCAAGAGTGCATGGAAGGAAACCACAAGGACAGATGGAAAGGAGGAGGTAAACAAAGAAGTAAACAAGGAAAGAAGGAAGCAAAAATGATGCATGAATGAAAGGAATGTGACATACATGAAGGAGGTATAGAAGGACACTGCAGGGAAAAGAAGGTTTGGAAGGATATAAGGACAAACGCAAGGAAAGGACAAAAGGAAGGAGGTATAGAACAAAATGAGGAGAAAGTGTTGAAGGAATTCAACTATTAAAAAAACTAGGAAAGGTATCGCCGAAGGAAACAAGGAAGCAATGAAAGAAGGTGGAAAAGAAGGGGGAAAAGGACACATGTCTGAAAGGACCCAAGGGAGCATAGGAGGAAATAACAACAGAATCAGGAAAGTGTGCAAGGGAAGGGAATATGGAAGCAATATGAAGGAAATGAGCACACAGGAATGTATTTAAGGGCATAAGGAAGTATGAATAATCCCAAAAAGATATTTAATGAAGTAAAGAAAACATAGAGGGAAGGAAAGAAGGACACATGAATGAAACTAGAACAAGGTCTAAAAGAAAACAAGGACAAACACAAGGAAAGGACAGGAAAGAAACATAGAAGGAAGCAACTAATTTGACCTGGAAGGAAGGGATAGAAGGACACAAGGCAATGAAGCAAGAAGACTCCAGGGAAGGAAGGAAGAAGGACAGGAAACACAGAAGTGGACAAGGAAGTATGAAAAGGAAGAAGTATATAGGGAGTGAAAGAAGGAAACATAAAAGGAAATAAGGACAAAAAGTTTTTAAGGACAGAAGGAGGTGTGAAAGGAAATAAAGGCACATGAATGAAAACAGAATCAGAGCAAGGAAACAAGGAAAGAAGGACGAAGAGAAGGAAACTAGAAAAACAAAACAAGGATGTATAAAAGTAAAGAAGGGGATGTGGAAGGAAACAAGGAGACACAAAAGAAAACAGCAACAGAAAAGAAGGAGGAGAGAGACCGAGGTCTGAGGAGAAGGAAGGATGAAACACCGAGGGGTAAAATGAGAGGAGGTCTGAAGAGGAGGTCTGAGGTGGGGAGGTCGGAGACGAGAAGGAGGTGTGAGGGGAGGAGGTGTGAGGGGAGGAGGTGAATGATTGAAGAGCTTGTGTCCGAGTTTCCACTCGCTGTGAATTCTGGTCACAGACTCAGGCTGAGGTTCACTGAGGCGAGGACGAGAGGATGCAGAGCTGCTGCTGGTTTCCCCTCTGACCTTCACTCCTCCTCCTCCTCCTCCGACCTGCAGCGTTCATTAACCCCACAGACACAAATGATTCTCTCCTGTAAATATTTCACATTTTAGTGTCAAACACAGGCAGCTGTATGGAGGACCAACAGTGACCAATGAAACATGAGTTCTTATGTGAATGTTAATTAATGTTTAAGGAGCTTGCAAAGAAAAGCGTCTGGACTTCTTTAAGTTGCTTGAAGACGTTTCACCTTCATCCGAGAAGCTTCTTCAGTTCTAAGGTCAAATGGTGGAGAGTCCCAGATATAAACCTAGTGGGAGTTTCCCCCCACAGAGGGACAAAAGGACCCCCTGATGATCCTCTACCTAATCACATGAGCCAAGGTGTGAAACTGGGTGTGGGTCACAATCAGACAGGGTTTCGGGTGAGCTCATTGTGAAACCTGGCCCCACCCTATCATGTGATGTCCTGAGGTCAGATGGCCCAGGATGTGAGTGGGCGTTAAGGCGTCTGGGGAGGATCTCAAAACTGGATTATAGATGTCAGACAGTTGGTGTCGTAAACCAGCGCCTCTGTTACGACACCAACTTGGTACCCACACCCAGTTTCACACCTTGGTTTCCATAATTCCATGATGTATTTAATAATAACAATAAACCAATAAAAATAATAATAATATAACATTTTACATTTTGGATTTTTTTTTATTTAAACAGATATTCAAGAATTTATAAATTAATAATGTTTTTAATACATAATTATTTTAATAATACCGATTAATAGTTGAAGTTTTTATATTATTGTGGTCTAATAATTAAAAAAAATGCCTTTGCCAAGATTTGACTTTTTCAGGCATTTATTACATACATTTAATATTTTATCATGACATACATTTATAAACATTACATATAAATAAATAAAACATTTCTTAAATAATTAATTTATAAAGTATATTACATAAATAATTTGAGTAAATAATAAACTTTTTACTTACATAATAAACTTTCTAACTCATTATTAATATTTAAGTATTTCGTACATATTTAGTTGTTTTGTATGTAATTAATAATATATAAATATTATTTATAATATAATGTAATATAATGTGTTTTGGGTCACATTTGTCGTAACCAAGGTTACGCTCTTCTCTGGTCCCAGCATGTGATTTAAGGTCTGTTCAGGGTTTTGGATCCAGATCTGTGTCATTAGCTTTAACCCTTTAAGACCTACCATAGAACCAAGTCCGCCAGAGCTTATATTATATTTTTACATGCCGTGGAGCCATTTTTGGGAGCATTTCAAGTTGCTATACATCAATACAACCATTATAGCCCAGATTTTAATAATATGTCTGCATTAAGTGCATAGTAATTACATAAATTGCAAAAAAGTGCAATAACATATATTTTAACATATATTTCTAGTTAGAGAAATTTAACAGGCTTATCCCTCAAAACTATAAATACAAAAAAGTTGCACAAAATAGTTTCCACAGGAAATTTATTTTGAGTGTCTTCATAGTTTTATTTTTGAACTACACCAATTTTTATACACTGCAGGAAAAACGAAAATAAATATTATACTGCAAATTTGCAAAAAAGCAGCATATGCATCAAAATTAACTATTTCCAGCAGTGCAATATGAGTCCTCAGCATCCCAGAAAAGACACAGAAAGTCATAAAGTCAAAGATAACTTTTAAAAACACCAGTATAGGCTCATGAGGCCCTGATGGTAAAAAAAAAACTACATTTCTGCGAAAAATGACGTCACTTCCGGTTTCGGGCAGGTAATGGCGGACATGCAAAACTTCGCGCTGACGTCTATTCCAACGTAGGAAGTGTTACGAACAGCTGACCGGATCGGCAAAGCGTGTTTCTGGAATATTATGTTTTTGTTGCTGCAAGTGCTTTTTATGCAGTTTTTGCAAAGCTTTATGTGGAACGAAACCGTGACCGAGGACAAGCTGATGGCATCAGATGTAAGTACAACTCCTCCGGTTTCATATGCAAAAAAAATTATTGCGCTAGCTCACGTGGTTGCAGAGCTACCGGGATTTAAAAATAGTTACGCAAAACAGAGCGTGCCCGCTCCGACCGGCTCTAAAGGGTTAATGCTCCATGTGAAACTTTTACATTTCCAGTCACTGTTTCTTTAAATCTAAAATAAGTAACGAGGTGCTGTGAATATATTTGTGTATAAACTGTGAAATAGAAAATAAATAAGCAGCTTTTAAAATACTTTATTGTTATTTTTGGACTCTGGCAGAGGAGCTTTGAATGTTGTAGCCCATCAGTTTAGCCGCTCTGAAACAAGCTGCTCTGATTGGCCGATTCCAGGAAGCGTGCAGAGGGGCAGACGAGGCATGCATGCACTCACTTCAGGACCTCTGATGATGAAATGACCCATTTTTTGAACTGGATCCTATAAAGCCTGATTCCTTCAGAGTGACCACTTTTTGTTTCAGGTGATGATCGCACGCAGAGGTCAAAGACATGGAACGCGTCAGCTGAGAGTTTAACTACAAAACCACCAACAAGAAGAAGCAGAAAGAAGCAGCTGGGACATCGAATATCAGATTTTCTCATTAAAGAAGGAAAATGTTGCATCTTCATGCACTGTGTGGATGAAGGTGCATAGCTGATAACAGACATGTATTATGTGTTTGCTGTGCTGGGTGTGAGCACGCTGTCCTCTTTGGTGCCGCAGAACAAATGAAGCTGACGAGAAGACAGAAAACGCCTGCAGAGCTAAACTGTCCTTTGGATTCGTCCGAACGCAGAAAGTTGCTGATTAACTCGCCGTCGGTCGACTGGAAACACAGACGACACAGAAAAGCGTCTCACGCTCACAAAGAACGAACTCGCAGAGCCCCGACAACTTTCCCACCAACGTCCATTCAAAAAAGGTCCCATTTTAACTTCGTTAACGTTCAGCTTCCCTCGCCTGATCTAAACAACATTCACAATCCCTCCACGTGAATGTAACAATTTGACTTCACAGCTGATGATGTCAGTGTGATGTCATTCCTTGCAGCTCGAGCTGGAGATGAACTCAAAAACCCGGAGAAAGTGTGCCGGACAGAGCTGCTGAGACCATTCAGCCATTCATCAAAGGGCGAGCACTCTTACCATCCGAAGCCTCCGAACGACACGCTCCTCTTCCTCCTCAGCATGGTGCCTCGCTCGCCCTCCTCCTCTTTGTCTCTCTTTTCTTCTTATTGTGTCTGGGTTTTCCTCCCTCTCTCTCTCTCCCTCTTTGTACCTCTGCCTCCCTCTCCCTCCGCTGTCGCTCTAACTCCTCATCTCTCCTCCTATAAATACTCTCCTCTCTGTCAGACACTCCCGCCGCCTCCCTCTCCTTTTTCCTCCTCCTGTCGGTAACGCTGCTCTCTCGTCTTCCTCTCCCACTTCACTTCACAGCACAGAGCCAGCAGAGAGAGAGAGCGAGGGTAGAGAGACATAGAGGGATAGCAGGAGGAGGTTTACAGGGAGTACCCGCTCTCTGCCAGCCTGATGGAGAGGAGCTGAAAACTTATCATCCATAATAAATGGACATAAATGGATGGAAGCACGTGTCGGTTTACGGGACCTGCTATTATGCAACACGGCTGCAGCTGACGGCAGTTTTTACTCTCATCTGTGAATCCATCAGTTTTAGGAAAACATCACAAAGGAAAAAGAACGAGGAAGGATTTTTAATCAGGAGGGCTTCAGGCGTACCAAGGTTACCAAACACACACACAGCAGCGCGGAAACCTCGCACACGTTCCTAAATGACCACCTTTGAAACTTTCTCTTCCCATTGTTGATTCACTCAGTGTAGGAAAGTCTGCACTCACTGTCTACTGCACACAAATCCACACCTTCACGTCAGTCTGAAGGCGTAACACTTATGTCTTATTGGAGGTTACGACCCTCCCACTAAAGAAAGCCACGCCCCGCTGTTATTGATTGGCTGGCATGGGAGGATCATCAGCCAATGCTGCTCAGCTGTGCCGTCCACTCGACCTGATGTCACTGTGATGTTTGTGTACTGCTCAGGTCAAACCCGAAGGAGCCGGTTGGGGTGTTCTGGGCGTGTCCGCCTGGGACGAGGCCTCGGGGCAGTTCCTGTCAGTACCACATGTTTGTCTCAGAGGTTCAGCCGCACAGGTCCACGCGCACGCAGTGAAACGGACACTGGCTCATTAAAGCTACGGTTCCTCTGATGGCCCATCCTACACTGTGGCAGTTCTAGAGCTCATACGTGCAAATGAGCACTGACCCTCCAGGTGTGCGAGCATTTGTCCCATCCAACGCCCTTTGAGGGCTCTCGATAACCTCGACCTGAATGTCTGGCCTGTCAGCTGTCAGTGGGACATGCCTGCCGTGGTGACCAGGCTAACGGGGAAACAAGGCTCGATTCTTCGGGTCTGTGGGTCAGGAGGCAGAGCAGCTCATCTAATAACTGGAAGGTTGGGGGTTTGATCCCTGAACGCCCAACGCTGAACCCCAGTTTGCTCTCCGACGCAGCCATCAGAGTGAATGTTCAAAAGCACTTTGGCATTGACAGCAGGGCGTCTGTTGTATAAAGGGAATCAGTCCACGTGCCGATGTTCATATGAAGTTTGGACTCCGCCGCCGCGGACAGCCAAGTTAAAAATCTGTGAACCTTTAACTGCTCCGATCATCGCACTGGTCTAAGATGAAGGATTAAGCTTTGTGTATCTTCCTGCTCGTTTGGCCGGATTCTCCATTAACAGCTTTACTTTGTCCTCTGAGTTCGTCTGTCCAACCAAGCCTGTCTGTTTAAGGTGTCTTATTTCATTAGGGTTTTTAAAAAAAATAAGAATCTGTTATTTATTTATTTTCACAGTAAATGACTTGTTGTTCCCCCATGGTACTCCCACAGCTCTCATTGGACCAGGAAACCAGTCCCCAGGAGTGTCTTATACTCGTTTCATTACTAAAAACTCTGAACTGGACTCTTCTCAGAGTGTGTCCTGATTTAAAGCAGACTTTGACTCATCACTGAAAGGACAGACAGGTTTTAACCCTTTAAAGCCGGTCAGCGGAAAATGTAGTTTTTTACCTTCAAGGCCCTTATAAGCCTATACTGGTGTCCTTAAAAGTCATGTTTGACTTTATAACTTTCTGTGTCGTTTCAGAATCAGAATCAGAATCAGAATACTTTATTGATCCCTGGGGGAAATTATTTCAGGGATGCTTTGAACTTAAATCACACTGCTGGAAATAGTTTATTTTGATGCACATGCTGTTTGTTTGTTGTTTTTGCAAATTTGCATTATAATACTTATTTTAGTTTTTCCTGCAGTATATAATTGGTGTATCTCAACAATAAAACTATGAAGACACTCAAAATAAATTTCTCGTGGTTGGAAACTATTTTGTGCAACTTTTTTGTATTTACAGTTTTGAGGGATAAACCGCTGAAAAACCTCTAACTAGCAATATATGGAAAAAACAAAACAAAAACGATTTTCAATTTTTTTGTAGTTTATTGCACTTTTTTTTTTTGCAATTTATGTAGTTACTATGCACTTAATGCATACATATTATTATAATTTGGGCTATAACAGTTATATTGATGTATAGTAACTTGAAATGCTCCCACAAATGGCACTACAGCATGTAAAAATATAAAGATAAGCTCTAGCGGACTTGGTTCTACGGTAGGTGTTACAGGGTTAAACTGCACTTTCTGCAAACGTTACCAGCTGAGCTGCTGAAAATGTTCCAGCAGTGATGCAAAGGCACATTTTACACATTTAACTGTTTCTTTAGCTCATAACCAGCTGAGAGCCTGTCAGGCTGACATCTTTGTCAATCTTCTCCCGATTCACCTGTCGTGTCTCATCTGAACATGCTTTGACGTCAGACTCTGGCCATCTGACCTCGGTGATCCTGATGCATGCGTGCAGCCCGGCTAAACTGCATGTAAACACATGCAGAGGCTGCGAGTGTAAAGGCGGTTAATGTATTACCGTGCTGACAGTAGAGCGAACGTTTGTGTGGCAGATGATTCAGAGGTCGCAGATCAAAATGTAAATGAAGACGCAGCAGCGCAGCGTTCAGAGGGGTTCCTCTAATTTTGGAGTCCTCAGGTTTAATTCTCCATGAAAACCCTCCAGCAGCTGAATACATTTACATCACATTACCACCAATGAAAAGCACCGTTTACACTGCAGAGCTGGAACCAGTTTGTGCACACAAAGCTATTTATAAAACCATATTTTTCATTTTGCACGATGAAGGAGGAATATGATGGAGTCATGCATGTAGCTTAGGTAATTCAATTCATTTCATGAATCTACCCAGTATAATATGACCCTTGAGAGACACAATCTCACACACAGCACAACAAATGTATTAAGAAGAAATATACAAGTACAACCAACATTTATGAGCCGCAAAAGTCATCGTGGAAGAGCCGTGACGGTAACACGCTGAGCGTTTGGAGCCTGCAGGACATTTAACATCAGTCTGAAGTCAGTCCACACTGAGGAAACTCTGCACTCAAGTTTCAACTTACAAGTACAAATTTTGACCCAATTTTTCTTCCTTTCAGCTGAAAATGGTTTGTCATAAATATCAATCAAAGGGCTCTGAGAACAAGTCCTCAAAAATCTGGAGCCCTGACTGAGACACCAGAGAGTCTGTTAGTCACGTCCAGCATAAAGACAAAGGTCAGAGCAGTCCGAGAGTCACAGCCCTCCCGTACAGAGATGGATGGATTTGATGCGGTGGACAGACACGAGCTCAGAGAAGCAAAAAAGGTTTAAGTAAAAACAACTTCCTTTCTTTGCTGTTAGTGTCTAATTAAGTGTGACAGGACTCATGTGAGCTAACAGCAGCCTCAGGTTTGCAAACACTGTGTGAGGTCCCAGGACTGGAGTGTTTCCCAGCTCAGACACACCATCCACCATCACAGCCACACATTCAGCCAGTTTAGGAGCAGTAATTAACCAGTCAGCTCACAGAAAGGCTCAGCTGACCGCTGCACCGACCTCGTCTCGGCCCTCGTCTGCATTTTCTCCTTACTGAGGAGGCAGCCACACTGACGCTTTTTAGGAAACCCTGCCCCCTGGTGGTGAAAGCGTTTGTTACAGTTACACCTGTCCGTTACTTTCAGTTTAAAATAAAGGATTTTACAGAAAAGCTGCTAATAAACATAAAAAAAACACATGTCATATCCTAACAACAATGCTTATGTCTTCATGTCGCAGCAGGGCTGGATGTATTCTCATATTTAGACTCCAGTCTAAGAGTTCAAACCCCGAAGATCCAGCACGGCGTCTTTCATTAGAGCCTCTGCCTCAAGTCTGTGACACAGGCTGCATGAAGGTTAACGCTGGAGGCGTGGACAAATCACGTGATGGGGATGCAGCAGCTTCCTGGCAGCCTGGCAGGGTCGAACTCTGAGCATACGTGTGGAGCTGTGAGATACCTGACCTCTGCCAGCAGGCCTCGTGATGCTGAGAGCAGGCTGAACATTATCTCCCAAACCTGACCTCACCTGAACCGAGGCTTCACCTTACAATTTCATGAATTTCATCACAGCTGCCTGCCATAAGGGAGGAGTTCTGTCCTTACAGCAGGAGTAGACAACATGTTCACAACACCATGAAGGCTCCTTATCCCAGAGGAAACACAGCTTCACCTCGGTTTGGTGGTATTAGGTGAAAATCATCCTGTCTGTGGTTGTCACACTTACATAAACGCACACTCAGCTTCTCTGGTGCTGTCTGGACCTCAGTTACACGTTCATGCTGTTCTTCTCCATCAGACAAGCAGCAGGAAACATAAAGAAGATCAGACTGAAGGAAAGTGACATCTGACCAATACCCAAAGGTCGAAGCTGTGAGCTGTGATGCTCGTCCTCTAAAAGTCCCCATGGAGGTTTAGGTTCTGCTTACAAGAAGTTCTTCTGTTCAATAAGTCGCTTTCCTGGCAAACCATTCATCAGAACACTCAAAGAGTCAACAGCTTAATATTAATCAAACTGAGGAACGTAGCAGATGAGAGCAGACAGGGTTGGGTTATTGCTCCACCTGGCCAAGGCTGCATCCATCCAAATAACTCAAAGAGAGAAATACCCAGTTCTAGTCACAGAGATCTGCAGCTGAAGTGTTCCTCTCCCACAATCTAACAGTTGGTAGATTGAAACCATCCTGTGCTTATAGTTCCAGTACAGAGAGATGGAAAAATACAAGGACGATGGAAGACCTG